CGACGGCGCCCCGCAGCGCCGCGCCGCCGAGGCCGCACGCGGCGTCGCAGTCCCAGAGCCGCGGCGCGGCCCCGGCGTCCGGCGCCGCGCTCCGCTCGCCGACGTCGACGACGACGACCGCGACGTCGTCGACGTCGTTGCGCCGCGCGCCCCGCCGCTTCGCCTCGTCGCAGAGGAGCCGCGCGGCGCGCTCGGGCCCCTCGCCGGCGACGAGCTTGTAGGCCGCGCGCGCCGAGAGCTCGTCCCAGAGGCCGTCGGACGCGACGACGACGCGGCAGCCGCCCGGCGGGCAGAGGCAGCACCGCAGCTCGGGCGCGGCGACCGCGAGGGGCGTGTCGCCGTCGCCGAGCGCGCGCGACATCATGAGCCCGCCGGGCCAGAGCCGCAGGGGCCGCGCGCCGCCGCCGCCGTCCCGGCGGACGTCGCCGCCCGCGTCCCGGAGCCGCCGCTGCCTGCGTGGACATCAAATCTTCGACCCGACTTCAACGCGCGCGTAATTCGGACCAGACTCGTCGACCGTGCTTCGAGAACTCGACGAGCGCGATCGATTCGTCCAAAAATCAGCCAAAACGACTTCGAGTTGACCGAGCTAGAGAATTTCAACGTTTGGTCGGGACGTCCCAAACCAGCGGTTGATTTCCACACAGGCCGCCGCTCCGCCGCGTTGCGGTCGAGGCGGTGGTCGTGGCTGAGCGCGAGGCCGTCGACGAACGCGAGCGAGTCGCCGACGGACGCGCAGAGCGCGAGCGCCGCGCCGCGGCAGCCCTCGGCGACCTGGCGCGCCGGCGCCTCGTCGTCGCTGTCGTAGCCCGCGAGCGCCGCGGCCGCCGCGGCCGCGCCGGGCAGCAGCAGCACGAGCGTCGCCGTGCTGCCCGCGCCGCCGCGGCCGCCGCGGCAGTCCGCGTCCGTCGCGACGAACGCGTCGACGACGGCGCCGGGCAGGTGCGCCGCGAGCGCCGCGAGCGGCTCGCCGCCGGGGGGCGCCCGCGCGTCCAGCGCGGCGAGCGTCGCCGCGACGAGCTTCGCCGTCGCCGCCGCCGCCGCCGCCTGGCCGCCGTGGCCGTCGCAGACGAGGTACGCGCCGAAGCGGACGCCGCGCCAGCACTCGTTCTCGGAGCAGGACACGAAGTCCTCGGCCTTGGACGTGAGCCTGCGCGGCGCGCGGCGCGTCGCGCGCGCGATCGCGGGACGCGCGCGCGTCGGCCGCGGTCCGACGGCCGATCGGCGCGAGGAGCGCTCGACGCGCGCGCGCTCGGCCCCGCGCGCGATCACGCGAGCGCTCGCCGCGCCGGCGCGCGCTGCTTCGCCCAC